AATGGTCAATAATACTTCCAGGTTTTCCATAGTTGTCTAGCTTCAATTAACTCATGATCTCAACTATATAAAACTACTAAAATCTCCACAAAACCCCCTTCTGGTAATGATCATATGTTCACTAGTGACTGGCTCCATAAGGTCATTCCTGGAGTTCTAGTGAGAAGCAGTAACCAATGGAGTTCAACCAAGTCTTTTGGGAGATATCAACTCAGTGAAGACGATTGGTGAATTGTTGCTCAATTTCGTGGATTGGTTGAAATTAGACATTAACATGGTTGGATGCTGGCTCAGTGGTCTAGAGGTTAACTGCTCTGGCACGAGACTGTTATGTCCTGGGTTGGAATCTCACTAGGCAGGATCGTAGATGCGCACTGTTGAGGAGTCCCACAATAGGACGAAACGGCCGTCAACCAGTGCTTCCAGGTTTTCCATGGTGATCTAGCTTCAAATGACTCATGATCTCAACTATATAAAATTATTGAAATCTCCACAAAACCGCTTCAAATAATACTTAATCTAATAAGTATGTAACTTAGTATATTCAATGAATGATGGAACAAACAATTAGAAATTTCTTTTGCTAATGTTTGGTTGAATTTTACTATTGATGTTCAGGACTACAATTGATCAGTCTCCTATTGGCCATATGTACATATTGTGCGTATTGCCTCTGATTAGTTGCAGTCCTAAAGATCAAAGGAAAGATTCGAAAAAACAATACCAAGTGAATTTAAACTTCACCCCATTGCATAAGCTAGTGGCTATCAGGACTCAATAGCTGAGTGATGGTGTTTGAAGCGAACGGTAGTGGGTTCGAGTCCCAGAATGAATATTAACTCTGAGGTGCAGGTACATCCAGCTGACAAGTCGAAATAGGACGAAACGCGCGTCCTGGATTCCACTGCTAATCACTATCCATTTGTGCTTATAAGGATTTATAGTTTAATGAATCTATAAAAAAAAAGATTATAAAACTATTAAAAATTATGGATTATTTACAACAATTAACGTTGTTTAGTTAGAAAATATTCAGACAATCTGATTACATTATGTGGTAAAATGGTTATTTCACAGTGTTGAAGATTGTCATCAACAAAACAAAGTCTTTATAATTTTATTTAATTCCTAATTATTCACTGGCTGATAAAAGATTTTCATATAATTACCTTCATACAGAATAGTCAGTTCAAAGGAACGTCGCAATTATATATTTGTAGGTAGTGAAGTCAGTCATATCTATAGATGGGTATTTGGATTTTCTTGTAGGACTAACTACATTTATATTTGTATAAACGTGAATGGCCCACAAATGATGAAATCTAAAAGATATCAGAATGAACAAGGTCTGATGATATAGTTAGCTATAAAATGAATGTAGTATAAACCGTATATTCTGTTTGGTAATCTTGAAGCAACTGACAGAAAACATTAATGAGCTTTTCAATGACTATTAATAAGTATAAACGGTCATCTATTGACTGGCAATAATGATATAGTTTCGCGCTTTTAAACTCAAGTTTCAATTTGATAGTATATATACATGAGAAAGTTGTATTATTCAATGATTAAAAGGGTGTTGTATTGACTGGTAATCATGAAAAAATTCCAGTATAAATTATGATTATTTTCAGGGATTTTATAGATTCTTAAATAACCTGTGCTTCATGTTATAGATAATACTCAGTATCACCATATAGTGATAAATCTTAACACCGCTAATAAACTCAGTCTCATTATTTTTGTCTTTTGAGATCATTTAATACTTCGGTATATATAGTGATTATGAAGCTCCTGATTTTGATTTTAAATGGCAGGGTCATGAATGATCACTACTGGAGATGGGTCTAATCTTGGGATGAAACAAATACCTTACGCTCCCACGTTTCTAACGGTTTTATGACTTGGATCATTTCGAGATCGTAATAAACTTTAACAACCTCCATTATACCCTACCTATAATTCCATTTCATATAGTTGAGATCATGAATCAATTTAAGGTGGACTATCATAGAAAACTTGTAAGCACTGGATGGCGGTTTCGTCCTATTGTGGGACTTCTCAGCAGTGCGCATTCACGATCCCACCTTAATCCCATTTTAAGTGGGAGTTAATTTTCAATGTTATTGTAATATTATTTAACTGACCAATTAACTGATTTTACAAAACAATAAAAGTAGATTGTCCAAATCATTTTCCAAATTATTTCAGCAAAATTATTATGTTTTTTCATTCAATCGATTTCTGAAGTGGAGCCTTAATTATGCTGCAAATACTTTATTATTATTATTTTTAAATCTACAATAAACCTATATTTAAATATAGGGTACTTAAAATATTCTAAGTATAATTAAGTTGTTCAACTGAATACACTTATTCATTATATTAAACCTATATCGACTTATTCAATAAAATCAAAATGAACAACGAATTCTTGAAATCTAACTTGATAACTAACTCAGTATACACCATGCTTATTTCCTATTGTGTTATACATCAATTAAACATTAAAATTTTATAAATAGAAATTAGTTTTAAGATTCATACCCTGGCACGGCCGACAGTGGAGAGAGTCAGCCCTCTCTCTCTCTCTCTCTCCAAATGCTCGCATATGGCTTTTTGAATACAACCACTGACAGAAAAGTCCTACGCACTACCTTTTCGCGACGGCGGTGATGTTTACATAAGTGACAGGAGGAAGAGCCAATGATCAGCGCTCTAACCGAGCTGGTGGACACGGAGAATTTAACTAGAGGAGTTGGGAAACCTTCATTCCAAACCAATAGTTCACATGTGCTCCAAGATCTGGAGCAGAACAAATGGCGTATGAACCAATCGTTGGTCACCGGCTACCATGGGAATGCACCTCTATACGTTGCTTCACTGCCTTGTAGATGAGACCTTTACGACCAAGGCTCCGGGTGTGAACTCTTAAGAAAACCACCTGCTTCTGTTTAGGCACTCGAGCAGCATCTCAGTCCTCATGTAGATTGAATGATTTATGTGGAGCATATCTATTTGGTGCCTCCTTATATCAGATGTTTAAATAAATAAATAAATGGTGCAATTATAAATTGGATCAAATACTTGGTTGAACACTATAATATGTAATAAGTTAGTAAGATATAATAAAGCGAGATGAATGAGAAGTAAATGAATCATGTATTTGGGAGACTAATAATAATGTTAAACAAATAATATATAAATATATGAATAAAGATAACAGAGACATCAATAAGCATCTATAAATTTACTTGCTCATGCGTGCATATATTGGCCGCAAATAGCAATCACTATCTTAACACATCTAAGAAAATTACCCAACGTAACTTTTAAAAAGAGAATGCAAAACACTTACCAGATCAGTATAAAAAAGTCTAATCAACTCTGGATACATCGCTCCGAAGGAGACGTCCTTCAAAATAATATAACAAATCAAGGGGACTGAATGGAAGGGAGATCAAAGCAAGAACTTATGCACTGGTGAGGCGTTGGTAATCCACCAATCTAAACCCGAAATCTGAGTGCAAAAACGATAAGTTCAGCCTCTAATCCCTCTTTAACCCTAATTTCCTTCTATAGTATGCTTTGGTGCTGTTTTTTAATTAGTGAGAATTTCCATTTTGACATTCATCCCTCCTGTTTTTTAATCAGTGTTTTGTAATTTAAAACCGTAATCAGTTATTATTATCCTTTCACAATTTTCTCACACTTATTATACAGTTTTCACTATTATAACCTTTATGTCCTTAATTCTTCTTCATATCTGTCAGGTGGACAATCATCTTTCATAATTCTGACCCGTAAATTATTCTCATCCTTATATTTTTCTCGAACCCTTTGATTATTGCGTAACCTCATTTAATATTTGGAGTCTCTAATCAATTTGTGATGCAATGTTTTCTATCTTTCTATAGAAATATGTTTACCATACAACCATAAATACGAATATACAGTTTCAGTAAATGATTTCGTCAAGAAGAAAATTTCCTTCACTGAATTCTATCTTTATTTAAAGATATAATGGGCTATTTTACTTATACCAAGGACAATTATATTTGACCAAGGAAGATTCTAAGCACAATGACCAACTCGAGTCCTTCAACAGCTAAGACTATGAATGATTAATTGGCCTTGAGTTGGTCAGGGGAGGAGAATCATTGCAAAATATATCTCCCGTAGACATAACTGAAGTTTCTTAATCTAGATGGCCAGTGGTTTAATCGTTTGAAGAATTTTCAGTCTGAATCTTAAAATTTCACTTATTCTATAAGTTGATTCAAGTTAACATTACATATGAGTCATATCAACATTAACAATTTAATTTTGTTTACAAATTAATTTAAATCATATAAAATTTAGAAAATTTCTTAACGTCTGCTATAAAAGAAAACTAGCAATCTTTGGCCCCAAATGCCCTGGTACAGCTGAGAGTGGAGATAGTCCGCTCTCTCTCTCCAAATGCTCTCACATGACCACGAGCATGCAGCCTCTGCCATGGATGTCCTATTCACTGCCTTCTCGCACCAGAGGTGTTGCTTACGAAATTAGGAGGACGAAAAGAGAATGTCCGGCGCTTCAACCGGGTTGGTGGACACAGAATGCTTACCTAGGGAATTTGGAAAACCCTGATTCCAAACCAATGGTTCACATGAATTCCACTATTCTGAGGGAACAAGTGGCGCATGAATCAATCGTTGGTGACCGGCTACCATGGAACTGCATCTCGTCACGATGCACCACTGCATTGTGGATTTGACCTTAAGGGTCGAAGGCTCCGGGTGTGGCCCCTTAAAAAACCACCTGCTTCGGTCTGGGCACCCGGGCAGTATCCTAGCCTTCACACAATTAAATGAAATGACAATTTTTTGTTTGGCACATATGTATCTGGTGCCCCCTTGCACCAATATTTATGTGTTCAAATAAATAAATAAGCAATCTTTTGAAGAATTAAAAAACAAAAAAAAACAAAGACAAATCAGAAGACATAAGTTTTTTTTCTATAAAATAATTTATTTTCTCCATTCAATGACATGTAACATTGACAAAAATCATGCAAAAACAGGTTCTGCATTACATCAATTGATTTAAAATATTATTTGCGGTGGGGGGGATTAAGGGGTGATGTAACATAACAACAGTTTAATCTATCATCTGATCAAAGTGAATATCTGAAAGGATATTTTATTATTATTTTCTTTTAACATTAAAGGTTAAATGTTTTATGAATTCATCATAGTTTTATATCTACAGTATATAATAATAAGTCATTTTATTCATCCATACTGATTAAGTGACCGTATCGAATAAACTTAAATTTGCTATAAAATCGGGATCCTAAAAAAAACAAAAAAAATTTTTTATATAAAATAAACGGATACTTCATTATATGTGAAAAATTATATTTGAAATAGTCTCAGCGATTGAAATTTAAATAATTCCAACGTTTCGTCCAGCTAACTTGTCTGGTAAGGTTGAAGGAACACAAACAGTGTTTAAAAAACGTTCCCAAAACCTCGGTTGACTTAAAGAAACTTGAGAATAAGTCTGCAATAGCGTTACATGCGTTGGAAACGGGACACATGATTAATTTTGAAGGGGCCAAAATACTTCAGAAAGGTTTCAACACTCACAAAGAAAGATTGACAGCAGAAGCGCTGTATATATGGGCGAATAAGAACAGCCTAAACAGAAAGGATGGTATTCAGCTAGCTACCACTTGGCAAATATTCATCAACAAGTAATTTGACCTTTTCTTTTATTCAACCTGTTTACTTCACATGAATCGTTATTATGACTGAAATCAATATGAGTTATGTTTAACATTACAATTTATGTACTTGATGATTCTCATTTTATTTGCAACTTCGATGATTCAGAAAGGAGAAAAACTTTTCAACCTTCATTATGCACGTTTATTCCTATTTTACTTCACATAGAAACATATCAACACTGAATATCATTCATCATTAATAACTCATCTTACACATACATACATACACACAATTTATGCAGTCTCCTTTAATTCACATCGTTGAACTTTTCACTTGATTCTCATTCAACTGACTCATATTATCCTGTTGTACAAAAACTTCGACATCCAAATATGATTGGATTAAAAAGTAGTAGAGATTTTGATATGATTGTAAAAACACTATATATTTCTTTGATGATTTTGATTTTGATTATTTCCCTGAAGAAGTCCAGACAAGTTAGCTGGACGAAACGTTGGAATTATTTAAATTTCAATCGCTGAGACTATTTCAAATATAATTTTTCACATATAATGAATTCTCTATACTCGGCGCCCAATTATTGTCAAACTATTCGTTCTAATCTTGACGAATATTCGTATAAACGGATACTATTTTTTTAAGAAACTTACTTGTGTAGAAACACTGAAAAATTCATCTTTTGATATTTTTCCATCATGATCAAGATCATATTTCTGTGAAATGGAAGAGAAAAGAAAAAGTTGTTTCTTTTAATAGTTCATTGAATATTAGGTTAGTTTGGTAGTGACATACAATAATTAAATATCAAACATCTCTCCATATACTTAATTACTCGACTGTCAACTGGACTTAAAGTATATGATTGTTTGAAAGACTAAAGATTTATCCTTTCAAAAATAATGTTTGTAATTATTTGTTTGTATCAAATCACTTAACCTTTACAATGTTAATTTTCTTCCGTTTATTACTCTTTAAAAAATCGTTACCTCTTCCTATTCAATTTATCTGGTTTAATATTTTGGTACAGTTCTTAATATAGCTAAACTTCTTTTGAATTATAAAATAATTTAATGGTTAGATTCATAAGTCAATTTAAGTTAGACCTTTTTGGAAAATCTCGAAGCACTGGATGACCGTTTCAATTGAGTATGAGACCTCTCAGGAATGCAAGCTCAAGGTCAAAAGTCCTGAGTTCAAATACCTTGTGTGGGATAATCGATGCTCAATGCTGAGAAGTGCTATACTAAGATGAAACGGTTGTACAGTGCTTCGAGGTTTTCCAGGGTGTTCTAGCTGGAATAGACTCATAAATTCTAACATTATTTTACTACAATTTCCACAACACCTTATTTTGACAATAATTACGAAATAATTTATCATGACCGTTTAAAATCTTGATTATTCAGTCAGTATAAATAATGGACATGACAGATGTCTAAATACTTCAAAAAACTTATTTCATAGTACCAAGTGTTTGATAACTGATAACAATTAAATTGAAACCAAGCGCTCAGATTTATTTATACTGGAACAAAATTTGAATTTCTTAATTATGTTGATGGATTTCAGACAGTTGTTTAAACGAATTCACATTAATGAACTTTTTTCATTTTCTGTCAGATGGATTTAGTACATTTCTAATAGCAATAAAGTAATAAATATTCCAAATTTTCTCTGGCATAAACTTCATAACAAGTACTTGAACATTTAAATTCACTTGGTATTGTCTACGTGTATCTTCTTATCGTACTTTAAGACAGAAATTGATCAGTCTCTTATTGGCAAATTTGCATTCTGTGCGGACTGTCTCAAAACTGCCTTAAGTCATAAGCTTTATCAGCACTCAGTAACTAAGTGGATAATGTGATAATGTTTGAGGAGCACAGTAGTGGGTTCAAGTCCCACTGTGAACATCAACTCTGAAATGCATGTACATCCAAATGACTAGTCCCAGTTAAGAAGGAACCCACTTCTTGGATTCCACTGCTAGCCACCATCCATCTTTGCTTGTAAAAATTGAACATTTGTTAATCTCCGTACTGAATAACTAAATATTATAAAGTAGTATAACATTTGGAATCTAAGTTTTGACTTTAATTTGACAAATAAAATTTAGAATTCTCATTTCAATACGTTTTAATTTTATAAAATGTCTCTGTGTATTCTATTCTTCCTTTTATTTTATCAAATCACAGAATCAATTTTTTAATCGTTTAGATATATAGACTCAGTAGTTTTTCTTCCGAAACATACAGTCTACAATGTTCCTAAAATTCTTTGAATATTCTAAATCAATTTGCATTTGAAATTTTAGTCTATTTCTAATATTGACTGTCTTTTTCAGAATTCAAAATTGCCGTTTTTATAAAAAATTATACTAATCTAAATAATTTTCCTGATTAGCTTAAACCCGTAGCTTAATATTATCTTCTTTATCGACAATTCTTTCAATACTAGCTTCGATTATTGGAGAATAGTTAGATGCACATAGACATTTTTTTAATATTTGGATAAAAAGAGTTGTCCAGTGTTGCTTCACATATATTTAATGTTGTTCTATCATAGCAGAATTCAGGTTACATAAAGAAATCAGTACTTTGATTGATACACTTCTTTTGATTCAACAAATCTTAACTTACAGTAAACATTGTATTAACTCTATCTTCAATAGCTTGTACAATATCTCCAGTGAGAAGTTTATCACCAAGTAAATCATAGATAGCTTGTATAACTTCTTTCAATTCTGATCTACTTATATAACCATCTCCATCAATATCATATAAACTAAATATCCATTTAATTTTGTCTAAATTTGAACCTTTTGTTAATTGTGATAGACCACAGGCGAATTGCTAAATTTAGAAAGTAGAATATAACAAGCATAAAGGTCAATAATTCGTTATTTACATATACAAACTAAGAACAAACATGACCAAAATGGCAATTTATAATAAATACTAGTGTTAAAATTAAATGGCCAGCATTAATCTAATTCAGCTGCAAATAATCATGATAACGTCATAATAGATAACATGGATAATCGTTAAATTTGTAAAATTTTGGCAGTATCATAGCCCACACACAAATAAAGTGACTTGTGTGGCGTATATGTATTCGGTGCTTCCAGGTATCAATATTTATGTTCGCAAATAAATGAATAAATAGATAATCTTTTGTAACACGTACAGCGAAACATCGTGAACGCTTCGTAAACGCACCTGAATATGTTATGCGATTAACAGACATAACGATACGTTTAAAACAAACAAATATGTAGATGCCAGAAACAGGTATATAGTGAACAAGAACAAGGGCGGGGGCAATCGAATGTATTTGAGCACAAAATTACAGAATATATCAATAAAATATGAGAACCATATAGTAAATAGTCAACTTGCAAACTATTAATCAATCATCTTAATCTTGTGTTATATCCCCCGGTGAATTACGAATGTTAACTTTTAGGTCTATTTATCGACCAATATATTATGCCTATTTTCTATTGTATAATTGTTACGTAACCTAACTATTCATATTCGTGTTTCTCTTATCATTAGCTTTATTTTGATCTTTGATTTATTATCATACGATTATTGAGTTATAATCAGTTTATTGATTACTTTGGTTTGTATAAAAACCCAGTATGTTTGTAAATAATGATTGATACCACTGAGGCTGTTATTGGTGTTTTGGACTTAATTGGCTGGGCTAGGCAGATCGCAGGACCGGTTAGCACTCTAGTCTGCTCGTACGGGTTTCGCGTGTCACTGTTCCAACCGATAATCCGCTGCTCCCTAATTGGTGGTCTTATCGTGTCACACATTAGCAAGTCACCCACTCGGCCACAGATATAACATCTTGACTGTTCCTTCTGCCTATCTCAATCCATCGTCTCAGATTATTATTGTTCATACATTTTCATACCAATTGCGCTTCGTTCCCTTTCTTTCCTTATCGAAATTGTACTGAAATACATTCAATGCTTGAACATTGTAATACACTATTTTATGTGGATATAAGTAACCGACACCCCAAGTAGACTAGATATTCAAACAGAACGCTAATAATCATTATTGAATGTACTTTAGGTATTGTTTTCGAAATTTTTACAAAACATATATAGATATCTATATTTGATAAGGTTATTTATTTCATAAACTGGAAAATATTAAATTACAAATGAACTATTCAAATCAGACTGGATTTATTTAACCATATCTGATATTTGAAGTTAGACATTAACACCGTTGGATACCGGCTCAATGGTCTAACGGTAAAGCGCTCGCGCACGAAACTAATAGGTCTTGAGTTCAGATCTCGCGAGACGGGATCGTGGATGCGCGATGATGAGTAGTCCCATAATAGGACGAAACGACCGTCCAGCGCCTATAGGTTTTTCATAATCATCTAGTTTCAATTGATTCATGATCTCAACTATCAAAATATCTAATTTACTTTAAATATTGCTAAGAAGATATTTTTGGAAGACTAATTAGATAAGACTTAATTGAGAATATAAATGTTTATCTGCCTGGTAACATATTCACTTTGAAATAAATTATTATTATTAATGGCTTTATTCAATATTATAATCTGGTACAATATAGAATTCACAGCACGAGTTATTTCAACAAGTTTTTTTTACCAAAAAAACAAAAACAAAATAAAAAAAACAAAATAGAAATTAAAAAAAGGTTTAAGAAAATCTGACTTTATACAAATTATCGAATTTGAGACGTGCGTAAGAGTACAGATTATTTACTAGGTCAACTCTAACAGCCTGTTCGTCACAAAGTAAATTTGTTAGGTAAGGTATTACAGAACCTTTATAGATTTGCTTGCGTGCATGGATTTTAATGTATTTACGTCTCGTTCTACCAGAAGATATACAAGGAGAAAGATATGAATGAAGCGGATGGTTAGTATCTGATAAGATAACACCTGCCAAGAGTTTGCAAGACTTAAGATGTCTATCCACAAGCATATTAACAATGACTTCAAAAGATTCACCACATACCTTGCAAACTGCCTTCAGCAATCTACGCAAAATATCAAAGTCTTTTCTCAAAAGCCCAGGAAAGAATAATGGAGAACAATATAAAATAATAGGTAATATGCAGGAATTTACAAATTGTAAGAGTAAATGGCGAATAATCCCAAAAGCATGCAGCCTCTTTAGTTACTGGTTTATTCAAAAAAATCCAAATGATCTATTTATAACTTAACAAATTGTCTTATTCCATTCATTATTTACTTCGTTATAATTCAATCTCTCTTTATTAACTATATGATATGAAATTGAATGGTCAAACGTTTAAACGTGACCAATTCAATTCATATATGCATATTGTTAAAATCACGTATGTAATCCTTATTTTGCCTTATATTGGCTTTTTTTAAATGTTAATGATAAAAATTTAGTATCTGTTAATTATCAAAAGTTTTAGTGGAGCTTTCGTTTTTTTCGTGTTTTTTTTCTCTGAATTGGATCATTTAATTGTGAAGATTTTGTCCTTTTTTGAACAACCTTCATCAGAACAATCTTCAAATAGAAATATCAATGGTTTTTTAAAATCTATTAAAATATTTCCAACTATAATTGTTTAAATAATATGTCTGTTATTTGAATAAAATCCAAATTAAGGTTTGGCTGAAGAATAAATGTCTGCGTGATTGAGATACACGATATTCCTCAATTGAAATCAAAACAGAAATAAAGTAATATACTCCAGTTGCTGTTGTGATCGACCGATTATTTACTTAGTTAAACAGTGCCTGTAATACTCACCACCTCTGATTCACCATCAGTGACAAACTTGACAACTTCGTCTATTGTAATTTTTCCATCAACTTTCTCTACTTCATGAACAGTAGTTGTAATTTATCCACCTTCTACAACAGTACATCTTTCAGTAGACAGTTCACTCGTTTTTACAACCATTGTTATATCAGTGACGTTGAAATATTCCTTGATAGAATCTAATGTAATATCATTAATATTCTGACCATTCTCTAGTATAGTTTCATTCATCTAATTAGTAGGTATAATCTCCTCTTCTACCACAGGCGCGCAACCATTCGTTTTCTCGTCGGTGGTAATATTCCCAGTTTTATGGAGAGGTTCAGAAATCAAATTTGTCTGGTTGGATGTTTTTTTAATTTTCATTTTCACCTGGTACATTTTTACTAGACGTTCTATCCCATTCGGGTAAATGGATTGCAATAAAATCAAATTTCTTTTTAATTAAATAACTTAACTCATTATTGGAAACTATAACTAACCTCAAATGTTAATTGTCCTGTTCGACATTGATCAAAAACTCGAAAACATAATTGAGCATAAGCACTAGATGCTGAAATTAAAAAGGATATATATATATATATATATATCAATATCATTAGTAAACTCTACAAAAGTTTTTCTCTATGTAATCGAATTAACCAAACAGTTAATGTGAATTTTCATAAGTACTTCTTTTGGTAGTTATTAATTTATAGTGTACTCTACTTATACTGACATGTCATCAGTTGAAAGTGGAATACCTGTCAATAGAAGTTTATATTGAAGACAATAAGAAAGCAAACAGAAAGCAATTGTAATAATGACAGGATTGGAAGAATCATAAAGCGTGTAAAGGAAAAGTGAAGGAAAATGTGCAAATAATGTTTTTAATGTATGGTTTTCATATTTCATAATGTCACTGTGTATTTCGCACGAAAGAATAAATTGGTTCTCCTCATCTGAGTTCTCGTTCACTACATATTTACACTTGATGAAATGCAATTTTATTTATTTACAGGAATAAGCTTCCTTTTTCTGATTGTATTCAGGAGACTTCGTAGATTTCTTAATTTTGATGTGTTTGCACTCTATTAAGTGGTTGGAAGTAGTCAAAAAACAACTCTGTGTCTAAGTTTCGTGGTGCCTATCAATTGCCAGCCAAGTGTGATTGAATCGGCGAGGGAAACTTTGCCACCTGCAGGTTTTTTGAATTCACATCATTCATCTTTACAGTCTGAGATCCTAACACTTAACTTTTCAGGTTTGTTGTCATATTTTACCAATTGTTTAAAACATAATTCTACTTTCATTGTAACCGAAAAACAATTAAAAAAATAGATACATTTATTTGAAACAGTTGCATAATAAACAATCTTGTCAATCGATTACACTAACACAGTAAATCAAAGAAACTTTCTAAGCCTAACTGTTTATGTGAATAAAGATTTAATGTAGTATCCCGTTTAGTGAGTGTTTCATAAGCACATCAAGAATATTATTACCTAATATCTTTCATAGATTGTTTTGCAATCAGCGGAAAAATAAATTACCCGAATGTGGGATGGATCATCCTAGTGTAATCTCAAAAACTATTAAGACTTAACACCAAAATTCATCTAAATCAGATTGACTATTAAACTGAAATGTCGGGACTAAATGGTAAATATAATAAAACCCAAAATAATGAACTGAAAATCACCAAATAAAAAGATAGTTCATGTAAATTGATTAACATGACTTGGTTTTTTAATATCCAGTCAAGAATTTCAAAGAGGAACGGGTCTCAATTATTTATAGAAGTCTAATTACTTAAATCTTTGTGCTAAATGCTTTTTACAAAGTAAAACTGATGACTTTTCTAAGAGCCGATAGTGATTATACAATATTATTACTGGTGAGAATCCACAGATATTGAAATAGAGCAAACTCCTTGAATTCTCACTAACAAAAATTAATTTCATTGAACTCATAAATCAATCAATGTTACACCACTATTGGAAAACTGAAAACACTGAGCTGCCTCTTCGTTGTAGTATGGTATTCCTCAGCAGTGCTTATTCATGATCCCATACGCAGGATTCGGAAACAGGAAATTAGGTCTCGCATGCGAACGCTTAACGTCTAGACAACTGATCCGGAATCTAACGGTGTTAATGTCTAATTTCAATCAGTCTACGATGCTGTGCAACTAGCTCCCATGATTTCAATGAAGTTTAACAATCTCCACAATCTCAAAATGAAAAATTAATTTGATTTCTATTATTCCTAAATTAAAATATATCAGCTTTAATATTTATCATTCCATTGGTTGATGTTCAGTTTCTACAACATATGGAGCGTCTACTTGGTGTTTCAGTGATTTTATTCAATTAATTTGTGCTCATAAACAATGCAATTCCAATAGTTTGTCATTCGTATACCTTAATCGGTAGTTATTTGTTATATCGCGTTGAGATTTAGGGATGGTAACTTCGAGAACTATTTATGGACCAACATGTTATGTATATTTCCTATTGTATATTTGTTAAGTAACTAAACTACTCATATTCGTGTTCCGCTTATTATAAGCCTTATTTTGACCTATGAACTATTACTATACGATTTACCATTCTTGAGTTATTCCTAGTCCATTAATTACTGCTCCCACTATTCACAACCACTTTGAGCTGAGTCTTGTACAAATGTTATTTTCTATGTTATGGTACGATGTGGTCTGTCTGTTCGGTATATAAACCCAGTATGTTTGAGAACAATGATTCATATTGCAGAGGCTGTTGTTGGTGTTCTGGTCTTAACTGGCTGGGTTAGGTAGAAAGAAGGACCGACATTTACTCAAGACTGCTCGTACGGGTTTTCGTGTGTCATAGGTCCCATCGATAATTCACTGTATTCTAATTGTCGGCATCGACACGTTATATATTAAATGGGCTCGCAGACAGACTACAAGACACATCAGTTGGCGTCCACAGATTATAACACATTGATCTTCCTCAGCTGAGTTCTCGTTCTCTACATACTTAGTCTTAAATAGAATGTTAAAGTTATCGAACAATAAAAATTCTTTTCATATAGTGATATTTGAAATTACTCCCTCATTCACTTTTTGTGTCCAGACTGTTTGTTTCTTTAGAATACCACGTAGTTTGTCTTTTTTTATTCGATAAAAACTTTAGTAAAACTTCTTTGAAAAAAGTTTGTTTTAAAAAGCTGCTGACACGTTTTACTTTCAACGGTTTTAAAAATTAAAAAAAATTCGGTTTGTACGAAGTGACAGTTAACAATATTTTTCAATGTTACAATAAAATCTTTGAAACCTTTTAAATATAATCCCACAATATATTGCACACATATACTAGTTTTATAGTGAATGAGAATACAGATGGGGACAACCAGTTTATTATTTTATACAAAATTATAGAATATCTTGGCAAAATATGAGAACTTTACATTAAATGTTTCATCTGCAAATCTTCCATCAATCGTTACCAATTGTTACCATCAAAAGTTACCATTTATAATTGTCTTCGGGATATAACGCAATGTATTATTTAGTGCTATGCTTCGTTAATAAGTGGCAGGTAGCACTAAACCTTGATCTGTAGTTATCTTCTAACTGCATCCAATCACCTAAAATCTCAGCGATTACTTGAATAGCTGAGTCACTTATCATAATTAGTGACCATGATGCAAACTAATAGATAGAGCTTGATCAATAATCAAGACGAAACAAACTTGAGACTATTTACTACTCAGTGATCAATCAATATAAATTTTCAACTGGGTATCTTTCATTTGTATAAATATCTGTCAAAGCTGTTTACGTCATTGTAGAACAGTGGTAAACTACATAATAAATATCTGCAGTTAATATCAATCAGAGTGTGCTGACAAAGTTACTAATGATTTATTAAATAGGCAATATTCTAACAAGATGGTGATTAGACATGACACTAAAGCAGTTTATGAGGTACAATGATGTATTATTTTCAAAATTGACTTTTTGATAGGTATGTTGTAATGAACGGTAACTTGGGTGAGGAGAACCAATTTACCAATTGCACAGTGACTTATTAAAATATGGAAACCTTCCTACATTTGTCTTTTACATGCTTTATGATTCTTCCAATTCTGTTGTTATTAAAATTTCTCTCTGTTTCCCTTTCTATTGTCTTCAGTGCAATCTTCTGTTGGTAGGCATTCCATTATCGATTGTTTCCACGTGCTACTTATATCTGTCAGCATAAGTAGAATACACCACATTGTATGCATCTCATATTAAATTACTGATCAAGATAATTATTGGTGGATTTGGAAGTACTAAACTATTGAATATCATTCTGCTGAGTGTTTAACACAAGAATGATTATTGTACATATGAAACTTTTGTGTTTACAATTATTGCTCATAACATTTTTACTTATGCATGCTACCCCTCATGAAGGAGCATATACCACTCACCACCATTCTGCATTCATCTCTGTCCTGGACAATCCTTTAGATTGTTTCCAGTTTCTACTCATTCTTTTCATGTCTGATCCCAATTCCCAAGTCAGTGTGTTATTCGGCCTTCCTCTTTTCCGTTTCCCTTCAGCACTCCAAGTCAACATAAGTAGCATGCATCACAAGTATACAAATGTGTTCCAAATAAGATTACCTATTTATTTATGATTATTCTATTTAGTCATATATAAATAAACATCCTAACAATAATAATTATTCACTGTTTCATAGGAAATTTCTAGATTAGGTGGTGACAATTTATAGTTGCCTATTTTGTCAGTGAATAAGCCTCGACTTGTCAGTTTATTTCAGTTTATGCTAATTCTGACTTTTTTTTCTTGAAGATAGCAATAAATCTATAACAGTGTTGAAAATTCATGCGATTTCTTTGAAAGAAAAGAAGTAATCATTTAAGACATATGGATTAGAATGTATGTATATTACTTTATTAGACTACTTTCCGGTTATTATTTTTCTTGTTTGATGGGATCCATGTGAATCATGATAACATTCCGATAGAATAACACCTAAGGATACTATAAAAATATGTGATATGAGTAATGGTCTTACATTTATATATATATATATATATATATATATATATATATATATATATATAATTCTGAGAATTAAACATTTTAAGAACCAGTAATATCATTTAGTGAAATAGCTAGGTGTTCAAGGACTGAGCTTTAGACGATGTTTTATAATCTTTTTAGATAGGTAGACTAATGTTTTGAAATTCTTTGAAGCGTTTTTCTGAACACCACTCTGATTTGCCATCCAGAGAACGACGGAAGTCCGTCTAAAACTTAGTCTTGGAATATTTATATAATTTTAATTATTATGCCTCACTAATTTCATGAGGAACAATTTTTTTAGGTTTGTACAGTTATGATAAAGAATTATTGAAAATAAAACGTATATAAACCGACAAACAGCCTTAATCGGGTTGTTTCTTTTATTAACAGTAAGAGATGTTTGTACATGTTGAACATATGAAACAGTATAAATCAGAAACACCCACTTTCATTTACTTGAATCACTAAACGTTCATGTTAGTATGTCGAAAAATAGTGGATTATGATTTTATATAGTTTTTATAATAAGTGAGCTGATTCGGTTGAAAACAGTGACAGTTATGATCGTCCGTGTTATCCAGTCATCTAGCTGTTTGTCCTTTCTTCCTACTAGACGTAAATTTTCGTAATTTTGCCACAAATAAATATGGAAATAAATATATACCCACAGTTGGTGCACATATTACACGGGCTATGCATAACTCATTAGTTCCTACAATTTCTATATAAATAGTAGCCAGTAATATAGTTTCATACAAACTTACCACGATTAGGAAAAAATCTTCGGTATACTCCTATGAAAGATTCTTTACTGGCAACACCTGAAGGACAAATCTGTAGAACAATGGAAAGTGACAAACAAAAATAATTCTTCCACCTAATAGTACTTATATATATATAAACAAGTTGTTTACAACCATTCACAGACTGAACGTTTTACATTACAAAAGGTCTTCAAAATATATCTTCACCCCAATAATACTATTTTCTATAACTTGTATTGAAGATTTAAATACTTTCTTTACCGTGTTTACGTGAAGTAATCTCAGATAGATATGCATATATGACTTAAATAGGCACATCAGTTCCTTATTTCAATATACTGAGTTAACTATATACATTTTAAGGTTTTTGTTTCCAGTCAAATAGAGTGAGTATGTTTATTGTTTTTGTACTTAAACGTTTTAAACTTAAGAATTACCAACAAAAAAAAAGTTACTAAATGTACTTTTGTTTTTTAATTTTATTTTCATAAATTTAATTAATATTAATCATACAACTAAAAGATAGATAAACAGAAGATACCCTGTTTATAGTTTTATCTTAAAATAAACATTTCATAAACGAATAGATCATGCAAGTACTTGAATTGTTACAGATGAAGTAATTTTGCATTGAAAGATAAGCGTTTCAAATTATTTAGCTCCGCCTGTAGCTCCTCCGGTGCCTACTGCCGGTCGCAAGACCGAATAAAGGAGGAGGATTGGGCATGAGGTTAGCGATCAGTAAGTCAGTAGGTTTCAAATTATTTAATGTTTTCTAATAGTTTTGTGGTGTGGTCTACTTATATCCATATAAGTAGTATATGGTGATGGTCAGACATAGAATGTATTTTGGCAGAAGATAAATAAGAAATGAACAAGAATGAAATGCATGAACAATGAAATCAGTGAAGACGGACTGATATTTGCCGAAGGAACAGTTAAGGTTGAAACAATTGATTGTTATTTTGCAAACAAACTGTTTGCTGTATGGTTATCAGAATTTAGTGAGATAGGTTGTAATTTGTGTTTAAATACATTCGATAGTCCCCACTAGTGTTCTCCTTCACTACAGTTTGGATAAGTAATTTATCAAAGATGGTATAACTAATAAAATATTTTTCTTCAAACAAATGTATAAAATCGATTTTGAAGATTAAAGAATAAAATGTCGAGTTCAAAAATCTTTAATGAAGAATAAAGTTTAACTTGTACATTCTGTTCAACCAAATCCCAAACCGTTTGTTTTAGAAATATTAGCAAATTTATTTATTTAAAGTTAATATAATGTAAATCAATTTCACTGAAAGCGGTGAAAATCCGTTGTATATTATTTTCTAGTTCTTACTAATCTGTTCACTTGGTGTTGTATACTTTTATCTTCCCATTTTTTTATTTAGGATTGTAATTGATAAGTCTCTTGTTGGAATGTGCGTCCTATGTGGACTGCCTCGATATTGTCTGAAGTCACAAGGTTTATAAGCAAAGGTGGATACTGGTTAGCAGTAGAATCCAGGATGCACGTTTCATCCTATTAGGGACGATACAAGTATACAACACCAAGTGAATATAACTTCACCCCATTTCACACGAAGGTGGTTATCAGGACTGAGTAGCTGAATGGAAGACGCGATGGCGTTTGAAGCGAATGGTAGTGGGTTCGAGTGACAGATTGAACGTCAACTCTGAAATGCAGGTACATCAAGCTGACGAAACGCGCGTCATACTGGATTCCACTGCTAGTCACTACCCATCTTTGCTTTTATGGTTTCAAATAATTTCAGTTTCTGCCCTTCAATCATGTTGTCAAAAGAGTTGTTTTATTAACGTGAATTTTGTTTTAATGATTTGTGTAAGATGGTCAGATCGAAGTGAAAGTTTAAATGTTCAATAGGTATTTACACTTACATGTTTAAATCCTTGATACAGTAATTGTAATTCTTTTCGCGTGAAATTTGTCATCATTTCTAATTTATGTATCGAAATTGGTTTAGTTTGAAAATCTAAACTTTTTACAGCATACGATGTTAAATCTAAAAAATCAAAAGTAATAAAGAAAAGTTAAACAAACTTTGAAAAAATTTAAACAAGTAAATTTATTTTCTAATGACAAGTTCCTCAATATCTGTTCACCAAACTAGTCTAAAGGCAATGTTCTGTTATAAAAGGGTTATTTGTGTAGGGGGTTTGTGGTGATTATTGAGTTTTTTTAATGAACAACATAAACCGATCTAAATTAGACAACCAGTAAAAATTAGAAAATATTGGATAGTTGTTTTGTCATAGTATGGGACACCTTAACAGTAGGCATCCAAGACCTCACTAAGAATTAATAATGTATACGTTTACAGTTGAATGTTAAATCGATGAAAACGTTTGTTAATACTGATTTTAAAATAAATATGTACCTTTAAGGTTATAAAGCATTCTAGTCAGGTAATCAGTTTGAACCGTTGGTTTAATAATAATATAGAGAACATCCTTGAATTTAGGCATTGAATACAAATACATGATATAATGTATTTAATATATTGTTTCCTAATATAGCTACATTAATTTAGCTAAAATAATGGTCTTTGTTGAAAAAACATCTTTAAATTAACCGCAATTATGTTCTGTAAACCTTCTTCACAGACATTAATACGTGCTTCAGCTGGTATATTATCAGGTTCTTCTACCTTCCCACTTTTGATATGTTTAACAGTCAATAAAAACGTATTAATTATTTCACTTCGACTGCCTAAATAGAATCAATGACGTTCTGTTGACCAGTGGCACAATGATCTTCTCCAAACCAGTAACTCATTGACAATGAGATAAATGACGTAGAACAATATTTCATGTCTATTAGTCGAGGAATTCAATTTCCTTCGATCTCTTAACTTATAATCAGAATAAAACAAAACTTGTATTTGTACAGTACAGTCTTAAGTTTTAAACTTCTGTGATAAAATGGATTAACTATCTGATTGTACAATACCATAAATGGGAAAATACAACATACACATCACTATATTATACATGAAGAAGAACTGATCATTAGGTCCATAATAAATAACTGTAAATTAAGTAGGGCACAGCACAAAAAAACTCTATGCAACCAAAAATTGGCTTACTAGTAGGAGAATACAAAGTGTATTCGTCTTTAAAACCCACAATTATGATTCAAATATAAATAGCTTTAAGTATAATATATCGTTTATTTATTTATTTAAACACATGAATATTGGTATAAGGAAGCACCAGATATATATGCGCCACACAAATCTCATTTGATTTGTATGAAGGCTGTGATACTACCCGGGTGCCCAAACTCAAGCAGGTGGTTCACTTAGGGGGTCACACCCCGAGCCGTTGATCTAAAGATCTGATCCACAAGGCAGTGGAGCATCATGAGGAGATGCAGTCCCATGGTAGCCGGTGACCAACGATTGATTCATACGCCATTTGTTCCTTCAGGATAATGGAGCTCATGTGCACCATTGGTTTGGAATGAGTGTTTTCCAACTCCCCTAGGTGAACTTTCCGTGTCTACCGACCCGGTTAAAGCTCGGGACATTCGCTTTTCGTCCTCTTAATTTCGTAATCAACAATAATGCCACGAGAGGGCAGTGAGTAGGACTTCCCAGACAGAGGCTATATACATGTGGCCATGTGAGAGTATTTGGAGAGGGAGAGCGGAGTCTCCCCACTCTCGGCTATACCAGTGCATTTGGAGTCCTAAAGTTTACTAAGGAACATTTTACATTAGTCGATATTTAACATTTAAAAAAAAATAGTCTTGTATTCTCCCAGTACTGCTCTCTAGACATAATGTTCCTAATATATCCACGGAACTTCACTATACTACTTAAAAATATTTAATTGATTAGTGAAAAAATGTTTTGCTGTTTAAATGAACCAAAACAGTTTTTTTTCTATCTTGTCTGCCGACAAAAAAACCTATTAGCTAGGAACATAAATCTCATGAGGAAACTTTATCCATAGAAAAAATTACTATATGGTGAAATTTAATAAATTCCTTAAAAAAAATCTGCTATTCATAAATGGAGGCAGTTTTCGTTTAACTCAATTGTAAGTTATAAAATTATACTGTAATTAAATTTTACTTTCTCTTTATAATATATAGTTAACCAAATACAAACCTGTTTATCCGGTTTAAATAACACAAATTTTGATGGAGTTTTGTTCTCCGAATTGGATGGTTTGTTAGTGAAGCTTTCATCGTCCTTCTGAACAACATCGTCACAACAAACTTCGAGTAGAAGTGAGGTGTCAGAATAACACAAAATGATGTTAACTTGATTTAGTTGTAAGGGTGTTTTTTTAACATTTTTCTGTTGTTTATTTTGACGACTGTGAATGATCAGTCTTTCTTTCATAGGTGTATCCTGAGGTGATTGTTTTGATATTATCACTTAGTTACTAGTTTTTATATAAGTTAGGTAGTAGAGAAATTGAGGACATGTCTTTTGTTCTATCTAAAAGTTATCCGGTGGATAGAACTGTATACGTTTGTTAGTGTTGAAACTAAAACTATAAGTCAGTACCTTCCACTTGAAACAAAAAATGAAAACCATTACAAGTAAAATAATATTCATACCTGTTACACAAACTAGCGGCCATGTGAACTCAATAGCTCATTAGGAAACTGTTTTGACATTCTGAGCTATATATTAAGGTTAGGATTTTATTTCCATAGTTGAAATTATGAGTTCATTGAAGCTAGACCACCATAGAAAAACTAGAAGCATTGGACGACCGTTTCGTCCTATTGTGGAACTCTTGAGCAGTGAGCAGCCACAATCCGTCCTCTCCAGATTCGAACCCAGGACCTCTGGTGAGAGACTGGTAGGTCCTGGGTCCTGAGGTCGTGGATGCGTACTGATGAGGAGTCTCACAATAGGACGAATTGGCCTTCCAGTGCTTTCAGGTTTTCATGGTGGTCTAGCTTCAATTAACTCATGATTTCAACTATGGAAATACAGATATCGCCACAAAATCTCTTCTGTTTGGAATTTTAGTGTGAACAAAATTAGTGAAATGTAGTTACATCCAACTGACAGTCCCAAATAGGATAAAACTTGTGTTTTCTTGGACTCCACTACTAGTCATTATTCAAATTCTATGGAAGAAGTAATATTAACTTCATTGAATGTAATTACAATCTAGAATGATTTTTCATTAACTTAACAAGCTAACAAATTTTGTTTGATTGAATAGTCCATAGTTTTCATTTTTCTTTTTTTTTAGTGTTCATTATATCATTGCAATTTACTTTGTTTTAAAAACATAGTTTTCCATATTTAACAATAATTCGGGCATATCACAAATGAAAAAGATTTGCTCCCTGACGATTATGGTTGAAAATGACCTAGGTCAAACGGTTTTTCTTCTTAAATAACTACTGACATCAACTAACATTGACAATTGAACTATAACTAAGTTAAACACAAAATAAAATTCAATAACCAGTTGTTGATAATTCAGTCAAAAACGGATCAACACAACCTAACTGTAAGATTTATTGTTACAAGAAATGTCAAAATAGTGTACGAAAGTTAAGAATACACATATATATTGTAAAGAATAATATTCCACTAAATTGAGGTAGACTATTAAAAATGACATGGTATTACTGACAAATGATTTATTTTGTTAAATGTTACACTAAAGATAGTAGTCAGGGCTATCATGTAAAAGATCATCTGTGTATCATATGAATTGAACTAATAATGACTGTTATACTAGAATAGATTTCAAAAAACAATTCATTATAACTTCTAACAAACAATGATACACTGTCAACATAAAAACTTGTTGTAAATAACCTAGTGGGGATTTTGAGGAATTTACGATTATGTAGAATAGATTGATTATTGTAACATAGTCATCTGTAGACGAACAAAGGTTTAAAGACACTAAATTTTATTTTATCAATTCGATTGTTGAGGTCATTCACTGATCAATATTAGACCACCATTGAAAACCTGGAAACACTATACGGCCGTTTCATCCTAGTATCTCTACAACCCTAAACTGGTAATTATTATGTGCTCACTAGGGGCTATCTTCATCTCATACACACGAACAAATGCAGACGAAGACAACAAATGTAGCAGCAGTCTCTGCATCAATAGGCCTAAACATGCACAAAGGAAAAAGCAAGATTCTGAAATACAACACGGAGAACACCAACTCAGTCACACTTGATGGCAAAACTCTGGAAGAGGTGGAAACATTCACGTACCTTGGAAGCATCATCGATGAGCAAGGAGGACCTGATGCAGATGTAAAGGCGAGGATTTACAAAGTAAGAACAGCATTCCCACAATTGAAGAACATATGGAACTCAAAACAACTCCCAACTAACGACGAAGTGAGAATCTTCAATACGAACGTCAAGACAGTCCTACTGTATGGATCTGGAACGTGAAGAACTGCTACATCCATCGTTAAGAAGGTACAAGTATTTATAAACAGTCGTCTACGCAAAATACTCGACATTCACTGGCCGGATACTATCAGCAACAGCGTTTTATAGGAGAGAACAAACCAGCTTCCAGATGAAGAGGAAATTAGGAAAAGACGTTGGAAGTGTATAGGACATACATTAAGGAAATCACCAATGTGCATTATAAGACAATCCCTAACTTAGAATTCGGAAGAGAAGCGGAAAAGAGGAAGGACAAAGAACACATTACGCCGGGAAGTAGAAGCAGATGAGAAAAAGATGAATGATAACTGGAACGAACTGGAAAGAAATGCCCAGGACAGGGTTGGATGGAGAATGCTGGTGGGTGGCCTATTCTCCTACACGATTGTTAACAGACGTAAGTAAGTAAGTAAGTGACTAGCTTCGAGAGGTAATTTTCGAATTTTCAGTGAAAAACTAAAGTCAGTAGTGTTTGACTCCGTCGGGTGTGAGGCATCCACCCATCGAAGACATTGGGAGACGACTGCTCACTATCGTGGATTGGTGGTCAATATGTTAAGGGTTCACGCGAGACCAAAGGTCCTAGGCCTGATTTCT